CGCACTCCAGAGAAACAAGATGGGGAGGAGCCAACTGCTGGGGTGGGGAGCCGACAGGGGAGCAGTCTCGGAGCTGGGGCTCCCTGGGGCCGTGTGGGTCCCCCAAGGCCCCCTCCCTGAGTGTGCGTCCTCAGGCTGGAAGTGTGAGACCTCACTGGTGGGCTGTGATCTCACGAGCAAGTTCAACAAGAGAAGCCACGGCCGCCAGAGTGGTCTTGCTTTGAGGGTCTTGGAGCCAGCCATGGGGTTCCAATTATTTCCCGTTTGGATTCGTTTCCCCTTAATCAATATCATTATGTGCATACATCAGCCGGGAGCACAGTGTCCAAAATCAAAGGGTGCTGGCTGGGCCTAGCGGGGACCCACGTCTCCACCGGCTGGGGCCATGTGCGGCGGCCTGGCTGCTCACAGAGCCTCCATCTTCCTCCGGGCAGAACACACGATGAGGCCTCCCCAGCGACGGGGATGAGAGAAAGGAGGCTGACAAAGGAGAGGAAGAGGTATGTAGGGACAGGAGGGACAGGTACTGAGTCAGCACACTGGACCTTCTTCCACGGGACAGCCAAGAGGCCGCGGCACTTTCTGAGGGTGCCTCGATGGACCTGCCAACGCCCTCTCCCAGCAGGCTCCAGCCTGATGGAGGCCTCGGCCTCCATCCCAGGTAATCAGGCTGCTTTATACCGAGACTGTCCACACCAGGTGCCCTGAAGTGGGGACAGAGGAGGGAGAGGGATGCATGGGGACAGAGAGGTGGGTAGGAGAGGTGGAGTTGGGTAAGAGAGGTGGGTAGGAGAGGTAGAGGTGTGCGGACACAGGTGGAGGTGTGGGAACACACAGTTGTAGGTATGGGGACACAAGTAGAGGTGTGAGGACACAGGTGGAGGTGTAAGGATACAGGTAGAGGTGTGGAGACATAGGTGGAGGTGTGAGGACATAGGTGGAAGTGTGGGGACACACAGGTGGAGGTGTGGGGACACAGGTGAAAGTGTGGGGACACACAGGCGGAGTTGTGGGGACAGAGGTGGAGGTGTGGGGACACACAGGTGGAGGTATGGGGACACAGGTGGAGGTGTGGGGACACATAGGTGGAGGTGTAGGGACACAGGTAGAGGTGTGGGGACACACAGGCAGAGTTGTGGGGACAGAGGTGGAGGTATGGGGACACAGGTGGAGGTGTGGGGACACAGGTGAAAGTGTGGGGACACACAGGTGGAGTTGTGGGGACAGAGGTGGAGGTGTGGGGACACACAGGTGGAGGTCAGGAGAGGCCAGTCTCTGGAGAAGGACATCATAGCACACAGGTAGAGGTGTGGGGACACAGGTGGAAGTGTGGGGACATACAGGTGGAGGTGTGGGGGCACAGGCGGAGGGCAGGTGGAGACCCTCCAGCCGGCAGAGTGGGCCTCCTGTCTGGAAGCCCACGTGCAGCACTGGCGCGCTTCAGGGTTGGGAAGTAATTCCCGCAGCAGTGAGTCCACCCCACCCCCCTGCAGGAACTGAAGCCACAGGGAGGGCGCAGAGGTGCCTGGCCGAGCGTCCCTGAGGCCTGGCCTCCAGGCAGAGCGGTCAGGATGTGTAGCTGCTGCCTGTCCATCCAGGTCCCACTCCTGGCGGGACCTCCAGGCCTTTCTTCCACGGGGGTCACTGGGTGGGCTCGGACCTTTAGGTTTTCGGCTGAGAGTAGAGCCATGTTTCCTGAGATGGTGCCCGGTGCCCATTTCACCCCTGAAGACATGCAGCCTGGACCTGGGCGGATGATGGAGGTACAGCCCCTGACCAGAGAGAGGGTTTCACGTCCTCTCGTCTGGACTCCTTCCCTCCGTCGCCTCTTTCCTACCTACTTGACTCCATCCTGATTCTTGGGGTGGGTCAGCCGGGAGCCAGCTGAAGCCTCGCCCCGGGGCCCCCAGATCACCAACACACCATACCTGGGGGCCTCAAAAAGTGCCCAGAAAAAGCAATATGAACAGATTATAGGATTTTCCAGCTCACATACAAGGCCACAGAGCACCAGGACCTACAGTCAGCCGGCGCCCTCTCCTCACACCCCTAAAATCTCGTTAATTCTGCCCCCACCTCCGCAGGATCTACACTTCAGGTCGATATTTTAAGTGTGTGCTTAAATGGTATCAATAGCAATTAAGGGGGGGGGGCTTCTGACCACAGCCCAGATGTAGTTAATTGAGGTGGCATTGATCTATTCTAACAGGGCTTCTCACTGCAAATTAACCTTCTATTACTGAGGGGTGGGGGTGCATGAAGGCACCCCTTCTCTGACAATACTTCGAAGAGCGAAGGCATCGAGAAAAAATGGCAGTGGCTCTGGAAACCGCCCCCCCCCCCACAGCCTTTCCCCCCATTCCTGGCAGTAATTAAACGATGCTTTTCTTGACTAATGATGGTCCTGTTTAGGGCTGGGAAGTCAATATCGGCTCTGAGGCCGTCAGCTTCCATTGATCATGCTGCGGCTCAAGTTTAACTGGCGGTTCTCTGAGCGGCCGAGCAGCGCTGGAACCAATTATGAGGCGTCCGAAGCCGCCCTCGTCGGGAGCAGGGACAGCAAGCAGGAGGCTGGCCAGCTGGGAGCTCAAAGGCACCCGCGGCCCTAACGGGCCCAGTCGGCCGCTGGGCCGCATCCTGTTTGCCAGGGTTGTTTCTTTGCAGAAGAAATCGACGGTTGGACCTGTCCATACGTGTGCACGCGTGTGCGCGCGTGCATGTGTTTGGAGAGTGTGCACAGGGGAGGGGTGGGGACATGATGCACACCCCATTCCGCTGTCATATGGAAAAGGAGCCCTGGTAGCTTAGCGGGTTACAGAACTGTGCTAACCTCAAGGTCAGCAGTTTGAAACCACCAGGAGAAACACAGGGCTTTCTACTCCTGTAACGAGCTACAGTCTCGGAAACCCACAGGCGCAGTTCTACCCGGACCTATAAGCTCTCACGAGTCAGCATCGACTTGATGGCGGGGAGTTTGGTTTGACTTGGATTCACACCTCTCATGAAAAAAAAGTAGCACGCAGGTGCCTTTTGACCATGTAAGGTTAGGCAGTTGAGTATGCGGGTGCTTCCAGTTTGTGGGAAACTCCCGCCATCTTTGCATTCCATTTCCCCACGAACTTCTCAAAGCGCCCTTGGGACCTTGTTTCAACAGTCTCTGTGGCGCCCAATGGAACTGCCAGTCAGCTTCCACTCCGCCCCCCCCTCCCCCCCGAACTGTCCTTCAAGGACACGATAACTAGGAACAGTCCAAGCCAAAACAAGCAAGAAGGACAGTACACATGCAGACGACGTGCATGCCAGTGGCAAACGAATCGGAAAGGCACTTCCTGGAGACTCTGTCATTCCCACCGGTTTTCACGCAGCTACTCACGCGGGCATTGCATTGTCAAGCCCAGAGAGACGGAAGCAATTCCAAACAGCAAATGTACATTCTGGGCCTTCCTAGCACCCAGCCGCCCCCCCCCTCCCCCAGGAGAAGCTGGATCCACGCTGACTTGGTTCAGAGGAGTCAGAAGTGGAGTCCACCCACCTCTCTCCCTTCCATACTGTTACGCAGCGGTAGGAACCTTGCTCCTCACCTTTCACCTGAGACCCAGTGCTGGGAATCCCACTTGCGTTTCATTGTGTCTGCTCATCAGCCAAATCTGAGACAATTAAAGGCTCTCATGATGGAAGCACAACCGAGGCTCAAGGAAACACAGCCAAGAGACCAAAGCACCCTTGGCATTGGGTCAATCTGCTGCCCAAGGCCTCTTTAGAGCGTTGAAAAGCAAGGATGTTATTTTGAGGACTACGGGGCGCCTGACCCAAGCCGTGGTATTTTCATTGCCTCCTGTGCATGTGACAGTTGGACACTGAGTAAGGAAGACGGAAGAAGAACTGATGCACTTGAACCACGGTGCTGGAGAAGGAAGTTGAAGGCACCAGGACTGACAAAGACAAACCAATCCGCCGTGGAAGAAGTACGGCCAGAGTGCTCCTTACAGGCAAGGATGGGGAGATTTCACCTCACGTACTCTGGACATGTTGACGGGAGAGACCAGTCCCCGGAGAAGGACACCCTGCTTGGAAAGGTAGCGGGGAAGTAAAAAATAGGAAGGCCCTTGGGATGGACAGACGCAGAGGCAGCTACGCTGGCCTCACACAGAAGCCACACTGTGCGGCTGGCGCAGGACTGGGCAGTGTTCCTTCTGTGGCACCCACCAACAAGGATGGGAGACACACCTGTCGGAGGGCACCTCCATGAAAGCCAGCCCCAACTCCCCCCCCCCCTCCATCATGTTGGGAGACCTTCTCGGTGGCAGCTACGGCGGGAGCTCGTCTCTTCAGGCACCGCTGGGCACGGGGTGACCCACTGTGGCCGTACCAGAGGCCCCTGAAACAGGGCTTCCAAGAGGCCCTCCGATTTGATCACCTCTTGGAGACATTAAATATGCATGTTTGTAATCGCGGCACATGACAAACGAGAAACTAAATGGCCTCAAAATAAATGCGATTTTACGCTGGGTAGCAATTAACATTAATGAGGAGTCGCCATACATTACGCCCTGCTTAGCTGATGAACTGGGTTAGAGAGGTACTATCACAAGATACATGCTGCCATCGGAGGGGGGAGTGGAGGGGCACCAACGGGCAAGATGCCCACTAAAAACATAAAGAATAACAGAGCTGAAGGAGAATTAAAACACTCCTAATTAGTGCTAACAGCACAGCGCACACCTATCAGGGATGTATCAATGGAAGTCACAGACTCATAAGGTCAGGAACTTCGCACATTGCTAAGAAGGGGAGAGGAACCCATTCAAGGCCACAAGACAAACATCAAAAACTGAGGAGTAATAATGAGCTACGTCTGGCGAAGACCCAATTCAAATCTGGACATTCCGGTGCTCAGCTGGTCACCATCCTTCCAGGTTGCCCGGGCCACTCCAGTGGCGGCCAACCTCAGGGCCACTCCGGAGGTCGGCTGCCTCCGTGAGCACCTTCCAAAGCCCTACCTCGTGGAGTCCAGGGAGGGCTTCGTCCGGCCCTGGCGGCCTTCTTCCCAGACGCTGTTGGCCAGCTCGTTCCCGATGGATGACATCACTTTGATGAGCTCAATGGGCCAGTCGTCCAGGTCCAGAGAGCGGACTCGGGACAGGTGGGTGCCGAGATTCCGGTGGATTCCTGAGCACTCGATGCACATGAGGGCGCCCAAGTTCAAGCTGGCCCAGTTAGGATCTGCAGAGAGAGGGAGACAGGGAACCAGAGATGTCATCCAACCAACAGGACTGGCTCCAAACGCTCCTGGATTCTGAAGGATGTGCATGGTTGGGGCACAGTCAACGAACTCGATGCCTGGCAGCCCCTTCTGAGAATCACGTGGAAACACTCCCCTTGGGAGAGGATTTCGGGCAACTTGCTGAAGCCAAAGCCTACTCCTTAGGATAATGGAAGTTCTCTCCTCTTCTTTGCTCACGCGCTAAGCAATGGTAAGGAAACTTTCTAACAGGTCAAGTGTAGCATTCAACTCAAGAGGGCAGATGTCCACAGGGAAAGCTTTGTGTGAATTGGCGGCAGCTGGGCCACACGTGGGCTCTGGGTCACTCCCAAAGCTAATGCAATCCCTTGAGGCTGTACCCTGCAAGCCAATGTCTCATTAGCCACACGACGGACATGTCTGGAAATTTCAGTGAGCAAAGAGGTACAAACTGCAACGAAATCTGGCGCCAGAGACCTTATTTAAGGAGAGCCGCTAAGAAACCCAGCCCTCTCCCCTCTTCGCTCTTGGCAAGATGGTGGCAGGGCACTTGGGTTAGGTTCTGACCCACCTTGAGCAGCCCCGACTTGTGGCCTGAGGCCGCGACATTGGCCAGAGAACATGGGAGTGTGGAGGAATGAAGGAATTCCCAGAGCAGCACCAGGGCCTCTGAATTGGGTCACTCAGTATGAGAAACTGGCTGACATCACCAGGAGACCCAGGACTTCACTACGTGATTATCTGTGAGGATTATTTGCTGCACGATTATTTGTGAAGCTGTGTTGACCTTGGCAGTTAACGGTTTCTGACACTGATAAAAGCAAACAAGGCTTCCATTATCCCAGGAGAAATCAGTATTTGTCCTGAGTTCACTTGAAGGGCCAACTGTCACCACCACGTCTACCTCCACCTCCACTGCCACCGCCTCTACAAAAGCCCACGCAAGTGACGCTCTGCTCTTGTGATTCACTGGGGGACACATCCCTGTCCTGTGAATAGCAATGGCTGGGAAAGGCCTGCTATTGATTGATCAGGAATCAGCCAGCCCTTTTATTGAACACCAACCGCGCACCAAGATGTCACTTGGAGGGCGAAGGTGCTATGATATTTTCAGTCGCCTCATGTGCGCCTGAAGGCGGAACGCCGGGGAAGGGAGATCAAAGAAGAACAGGTGCTTTTGAGTTGTGGTGTTGGCGAGGGATCGTGAAAGCCGCGTGGACTGCTGGAAGAACGTGCACATCCGTCTTGGAAGGACAGCCAGAGATGCTCCTCAGACACGAGGCTGGGGAGACTGCATCTCATGACTCTGGACAAGTCATGGGGGGACCAGTCCCTAGAGAGGGACCTCGTGCTTGGTAAAGTAGGCCAGCGGAAAAGAGGAAGACCCTTGGTGCGATGGACTGGCACGGTGGCTGCCGTGATGGGTGAAGTATCATAGCAACAATTGTGAAGCTGGGGCAAGTGCTCTGTTCTCTTCTACAGAGGGTGGCTATGAGCTAGAACCAACTCTACCACCCACACCACCAACAGCAGAGTCTCGCCAGGGTGCTGAGCAGCCACCCTGGGGCATATCAGAGAAAGGGGCCCACGACCTCAGACTGGGAGGAGGAAACGGATGCCTGGACAAAAGTAACAAGGACACACAGAGGCCGGGTGCCCAGGGACGCCCTGCCAGCACGGTGAGGCAGGCTGGAGATGAGGGCCAGGATGCAGGCTGTGCAGAGGGTGTTTAGGGACGAGGGGATGCGGAGGGTGAACAGCGCCAGCAAACCCAGCCCCACCCCCTCTCCTCCAGCTCTCCCGCTGCTTCTCACAGCCCAGCTTCCGGAACAGTGTTGACACTGATGTTTTCTGTGCCCCTCCATCATTTGGAGGCCTCCCCATACCTCCACCTGTCTGCCCCAGTCCTGGATGAATGTCCCCTTTGGTCCTTCAGATAACTGGAATCGCCCCCTGGCCTTCCATTCTGCACCTGTCCAGTGCAGTCCATCTGCAAGGATGCCTGCAGCTCCATCTCGCTGGAAGTCCAGCTCAGAGCCCTCTCAGCCCTGCTGCCCAGGGATCCCCACTGACGGCTAACACATAAAGGGCACAGGAGTTCCCTGATCTCCACCCACAGTCAGAGAGAGACTGGCGGAACCCTAAAGCCCAGGGTCCTTCCTTGGACACACTTCAAACCGGGATCTGAAGCCACCCTGCGGCTCTGCTTTCTGGGCCTATCAGGTGAATGATCCCAGCAGAGAGGTGGCACTCCTCAGAACACTGAGCCAAGAGAAGCTACGGGGCAGCCTTTACCCAGGGAGGCAGGAGAGGGATGAAGGGGGAACGGAGAGGAGGGGCACAGGGAGGAAGCGGAGAGAGTGTTACTCCGCCGCAGGGGTGGTCCTCAGCATCACAACACAAATGCGGTCCTCTTGTTGAATGGAAAAATGGATGTAAGCTCTCACCTACATCACAATACAAAATTAATATCACTCACTCACTCACTCACTCACTCACTCACTCACTCACTCACTCACTCACTCACTCACCAAGTAACTAAACTAACAGGTCTCCGCTGGGGTCGTCACCACCACTGGCGTCGGCCAGCTCTGTGTTGAGGGGAGGGATATACTAACTGGAAGGTGGACATGTATCAGGGTGTGTCCTGTGAGAGGGAGCCCAGTCCAACCTGGACACGCAAAGAAGCCCCTGAGAGGTGCACAGGGAAGGAGTAATCAACAGTCTGTGTCATGACATCCACCATCCTGAGGTCACAAGTGATAATCCCCCAGGGGATACGTAGGTAGATGGGCAAATTGGACGAGTGCGGGCAGGGGAGGGTCATAAATACACCACGAGCATGCACAGGTTTCTACACGTGTAGCCAACTGTACAGGCTGCAAATACACCCAAGAATATCGTAGCGCACACGGGGGCAAAGCTCTGAAAACCTCCTTGCCATCGCCAAATACCCCAGGGAACGAGGCCTGAGGGGCGAAGACTTGGGACCAACAGGCTCGGGGACAGCAGGCATCATGCAGTCCTACTGAGACAAAGCTCACGCCCTATGTCGGCGAGCAGCAACTGAGCCTTCTACCACAGATCTGAGTAGCTACTGGTCTCCCCCCATTTAGGACAGAGGAGAAGGAAAGAAAACAACAAACAAACAAATTAAAAGCCAAGATGCATAGAAAGGATTAGTCCGAAAAATTAAAGGACCACCTGAACCATAGCCCCCACGGCCCTCAGACCCGAAGCACCAGGTGGTGCCCAGCTCCCGCTGCCCAATGTGCTGACCAGGATCAAACAGAAGGTCCCGGGGCCCCTGAGAAACAGCGCACTGCCGTTGGGGAGGCTGCAGAGTGAAGGATGTGGTGTTCAAATCACAACAGTTCAGTCCGTGCTGTCAGCCTCCCAAAGCTGGCCCTGGACGCTTGGCAACCCAATGCACAGGGAGCAGAGGCCCACCTGTGGCACCCACGCGACGGGACTGGGGTGGCCCAGGGGCTTTCAGAGGTCAGTTGCGAGCTCTTTCTTCCCAGTCGTAACGCTTGGCTGGAGCCTGCTTAGCGTCCTCACGGCACACCAGTCCCCATGGGCTGAGGGGGGTGCCTACGCATGAGGTGTCCTACCTGGAAACCGAACCTGGGGCTCCTCAATCAGATGCTTTCAGAGCTGCGGAATCCCCCATGAAACCTTGTCTGGCAAATATGACAGACTTGCCCACAACACGGTGGTGGCCCATCCTCCCCTGACCCCGGCACACACTTACTCTGCGTCTCGCAGTCCACGCAGTGCGCGTTCCCTCTGACGTTGCGTATTGACTGCAGGGCCAGGGCCTCGCTCTGACTGGTCAGCCGGGACTGGGCAGAGGGGGGGGGGAGACAAATGCAGAGAATGAGGGCGCCGGAGAACCACTGGCTCAACTACCACCCATGCAGGGGAAGCCCGGAGCGACCACCCCTGCGCATAGTGTGAGTGACCTTCAGACGGTGAGCACTCCTTTCAGGGAAAAGGGTAATGGAGGGTAACCAAGAGCCCATTCGTTAAGCTCCATGAAGACAACTGGGGTATTAACACTGACCAGAGGAAGCCAACTTGACCAGGCCGGAGCAGAGGGGAATTCCAGGTCATCTGCAGATGGCCAGGTGACCCACGGCCACGTGGTGAGTGTAAGTGGTTGGCCTGGACGAAATACTTGGCTTTGTGGGAGGGAGGGCCACACCACCACACCAGTCACCATGGCTGCGCTGGCTGAGCAGGGTGCCAGCAGCAGTGTCCGAGGGTCAACTTTCTCTGCCACACTACCCCCGCCCCACCCCCCACCCCCTGGCATTTGTTGGCGGAGTCTGCCTTTCGCAACTTTGCTACTAGTGCTGGGTGAACAGGACTCTCCCGGTGGTTCTGATCTGCGTCTCTGGATGGCTCTCCCTGGTGCCTGGTCAGTGCTGACTCACAGCGACCCCCGTGGGGGTCTCGGGACTGACTGTTTACGCGAGTAGAAAGTGCAGCCTGGTGGTTTTGAACTGCCGAGCAGCGTCCCTCCGCTGCTGGCGACTGAGAGCGTTCTGCTTTGGCTGAATTGTTGGCTGCGTGATGTCCTCTTGGACGCACCCTATGGCCATTTCTTCATTGTGGCCTTCTTCAGACTGCAGTCCCTTGCCTGACACGTCACTATCTCAAACGGTCTGTGGGTGGTCTGTGGGTTTTCGTTTCCCTCTCTGGGTACTGATTTCCACCCTTCTTCTGCGTGTGCATGTTGTCTGCGAGGCGTGCTAGCGTGTCTGCCGTGTACCAGCGCACCCAAGTTCTTCACGGATGATCCTTGTAGTTCTGGGGCTTATGTGCAGGTCTTGTACCCACTTTGAGCTCGGTTCTGTACACAGGGTGAGGTACAGGTCCCGATTAATTCTTCTGCAAGTGGAAATCCAATGTTGCTGGCATCTTTTGGCTGGAGAGACGTCTTCTCTCTTCCCCACCCAAGGTCTTTTGCCCTGTGTCAGATATTAGGTTTGTCTTTAGCGCATAGATTTATTTCAAAGCAGGCACGATCTTTGAGGGTCGTCCTGAACAATGGTTGGGAAGGACCCTGATGGGGGCGGGGAGGGGGTGGAATGAAGCTGAGCACTTGACCCCCCGCCCCAAACTCAATGTTGCCGTCTTCTTTAACAATGAGAAACAAGCAAGCAAGCACACCCCAGCCTGTGCTTAACACAGGAAACCCAAACACACAAGTGCAGGAAAACACAAGCGTGCACGAGCAAACACACATGCGCCAAGTGTTTCTGTGCGCACATCTACACGCATTTATGTGAACGCTGCAAAGACAGCCTGGTAGGGACTCTGCCTCCGAAGGCGCCCACTGGCTGCACTGCCCTCACTCAGTGCCGTCCTTCTCCATGGCCGTGTGGTCAGCCACCGGGGACACCCCCTCTGGTGGACAACTGTTCGGGCTAAAAAAAACCAACAACCCACACATGCTCATGTTGGAAACTTGGCATCAGTCCCTGATGATCTGTGAAGAAGGATCCAGCCAGGTAGAGGGCAGGGCACCTGTGGGGGTGGCCAATGGATCTCATCACCATTAGTGGGCGATCACAACAAGCTGGATGGAATGCTGGTGCAAGAATTCCAACCCCCACCCACTACTGTAGACCCTGTAAGACCCGGCCGAACTGCCCCGGGGGTTTCCAGGGCGCTCATCTCTGCGGAAGCTGAGTGCCAGAGCACCCACCCTCCCCACCCTCCGTGCAGTTGGTGGTGGGTTCAAACCACCAACCACCCGTGGGCAGCTGAGTACTTTAGCCAGTGTGACACCAACCCAAACCAAATGCTCTTACTCTGAGACTCTACAGGAAAGGGGAGAACTTCCCCTGGGGTTCACAGGACCCTCCATCTCTACGGGAGCAGAGAGCCTCATCTGTCCTCTGAGGAGCGGCTGGTGGTCTCAAACTGCTGACTTTGCGGTTAGTAGCCTGACGCATAGCCACCAGGGCTGCTTTAAATCGAATCACATTTGTCAGATGGTTTCAGGTGGACTAATCTATGGCTCACTACAAAGTGATGAATTACGATGTACTAATTGTGAGGGCCTAATTATCATAATGAATTATTGGATTTTATAAACAAATTTCCTTTGGTTAGCTACCCAATCATTCAAAGTATGTTGAAAGGACTTTTGCTGAGTTACCAGTATTTTTACAACAATAAAAAGGGAGGTCTTCCTATTGACACCTGGATGGTGTCTGTCTGCCCCTGTGTCTGTCTTCCAATTGTTATTAGATGCTGTCCAGTCAGCTCCCACTCACGAGGCCCTGTCCACCACAGAAGGAAACACTGCCTGCCCGGTCCTGCCCCGGCCCCACAGCTGCTCTCCTGTGTGCGGTCAGTGTTACAGCCACGGTGTCTGTCCATCTCCTGGAGGGCCTTCCCCTTCACCACGCACGACGCCCTTCTCCAGGGACGGGTCTCTCCTGACAACGTGTCCAAAGCACATGAGACCAAGTCTCACCATCCTTGCCGCTACAGTGCATTCCGGCTGTACTTCCAAGACAGATGTTTGTCTTTCTTTTAGTATTCTTCTCCAGCACCGCAATTCAAATACATCAATTCCTCCTTGGTCTTCCACTTGCAGAGGACCCGACTGAAGAGACCCTGGCTTGGGCCAGGCACACCTTAGTCCTCGAAGGAGCCCCTTTGCTTTTCAACCCTGTTCCCCTATCACTGACTCCTCACCCCTGAGTCGTCTCCCAGCCTGACTCCTCACCCCTGCGGTGTTTCTGAGGTGCACATGGGCACATCCGCCTTTTGCGCTTGGCCTTGCTGTGTCCCCAGACTCTGCGTCTTGTAGAAAGGGAAGGCCTGCAGGTCCACGGGCACCGTTTCTCCCAGCAGCCCACGCTTGCATCGTGTCCCTGTGTCCCGCGGTGGTCACCTCCACCCCTCCACCGTATTTCAAACGTTTCCCCCAGTTCGCGCGG